TCGTGAGGTTCCCTCGTAAGATTATACTGTCTAAGATTTTTTCAAGATTGGATAAGAATCTGTTAGGATCTTAATAGTAAGAACGATGATGTTTTTTAAATAGTATTCATTCGAGATTCGCTAGAATTTTTGTATTTTTATCCAAAGCAACAGTTGAACAGTTTTGAAGAATGAAGAGAAATTTCATATTTTCGGGTGTCCAACTATGGACCTTGATCTGCTTGTACACTCTCTAAAAAGTTGTTGAACACTTTCGAGAGTGCAAGTACTAGCAAAGTCTAGAAGAAAAATAACCGTAAAATCACTCATATTATTGTTGTTACTTATATAGATGAATGAGAGCAAAACAAAGGGTGAATGGAAGTAGACTCATTAAATCTTATTAAGATCTTAAATAAGATCTTAGATTATCTTATCAAAATCTTAAAGGATAAGATCTTATAAGATCTTAGTAAGATAATTTTAAGAAGTGTCTAAGATTTTTACTAGGGCTATCTGGAATATACATTTTTATAAAATCCAACAGTGTTAGTCCCTACTACTCATAATTTTAATAACTTCTCTCAGATTGTGAAATCCTAAACTTTAACGTTCTTTTCGCCCACTTTCGAAATCGACAGTACTGCTTTGCTTTTTACTGTTATAACTAGCTTTTACATTTGTCACACTACTTTGCAAAAAGTGACATGGAAATTAATAGACTAAGACTTTGGTTTTGCCTCAATAATTAATTGTAGCCAAATACTTGTTCCTTGAATATCATGTTCAAAAATCGAGTAATCATCCGCATGAGACCAATCTTTCATGCAACAAGTAGGCTCTTCATAAGGTACTATTTGTTTAATACCATACCAGCGCCATCGGCAATGGCTAAAACTCACTTTTAAAATTTCAACGTAATTAGAACACATCGGACACTTAACGATTGATGCATTCGCATCAACAAGAACATCAAATTGTTTGAAACCGATGGAAATAATAACTTCTTGTTGATATGCGATGCATTCTTTATTGGTGTATATGCCTTCCAGACAAATTCCGGGTGCTATTTGACGCCATTGATTGATCACTGGAAGTGAAAATAAATCATAAGGTGGTTTTATTTCTTGAAGTTGTACCATGTGGAATTCATCAGAAGGATTGTACCGGCCATCTACTCGAAAATAGCTACCCGGCATTAATATAATTTCGTTTTCCTGTTTGCAATACGAATGATTTTTGACAGACCGGCCATTAAGACATTTAATCACAAAGATTGTCCGTGTACCTGTCTTACCACAGAATTGCTCTGATTGGAGAATATCAATATTGTCTGTGCATGAACTAACACCCCACCAAATTAAATTGCTATTAGGTTTATATTGATCTGTTAAATCAGCTTTTACTCCTCGATAGACAGTATCAGTAGTAGATGGAAGTCGAGAGAGTGCAGTGATAAATAGTTTTAAATATAAAAACCATGGTTTGAGCTTTTGTCGATCTTCCATTCGTAAAGTTTGATTAAGAATAAAATATAGACTATTTTCATTAGTATTCCATTCAAATGTATAGAGCATAATTGAAGCTGATTCGTCTTGTGATAAACCATCAGCAGGTTTCTTACAATGTTCTTTCGCAACCCATACATTCGCCTAAAGTATTTTCTTATCGAAAATAGTAAAAAGAGGCGCAACTGCTTCTTCTAATGACACTAAACGTTCATTTTGATAACCTTCAATAGGTAATAAAACACGATTAGATTCATAAACAACATCTTGAATTCTTTGTTTTATCATAATGATAATTGGAATTTCGAATTAAATCACAGGATGTAGACAATTATAAAGAACCTTCAGTGTTCAATATTCGTTTATAAATTTATTGTTTTATTTTCTAACGTTAATGCACCTAAATACATCAAAGCGTTGTTGTGAAATTACGTATTTGTTTGTCTTCTGTTATTCGGTTCGTATACCTTCAGCAAAGAATGAGAGAAACAATGTCGAAGATAAGAATGAAAGAAACATGACAAAGATGTTTCATTGTGTCTATAAGATGCTTTTTCTTTCATTGTCATAGAGATGAGGAAGAAAAAACATCCTTTGAAACGAAAAATAATTTCCAACCTACTCAAACGTATATTGTTAGGTAGAAAAGAAGGTCGTGTCAAAGATTCATTTTAAGGGACAATTACATAGTGTATATAGATTTAAAATTTCATATTAGAATGACATCAATGCCTATTCAATTTCAATTGAATGATCAACAGCCAATCGAAGTAAACTTACCAGAACAATTTACCCTGAACGATTTCAAGAATGCAGCTGATAGTGTTTATAATAATAGAACCTTTCTTTATTCTTTTGTATGTCATAGAAAAGAACTTGATTTAGATAATGAAGACGAATTCAGTAAGTATAAAGCATTAATTACCTCTGGAACAACAATTTTTACAATAACGCATACGAAAGGATGTTTTTTGCCAGATACACTCGTTCAGCGTGCTGATCGAAGTGAAATATCTATTAGTGCTATTCAATTAGGCGATGTTTTACTAGCATTTACTACTTTTGGTGAGATCGTTAATACAATTGTTGAACGTGTGTTTATTCATGAAGTCAATGAATATGTCGAAGTACAATTCGGACAAAATAGACTGCATGTAACACGCGAACATCCATTTTTTGTTGGAAATGGTAATTTTTGTTCACTTGACAAGTTACGTATCGCTGATTCTGTCTATAGTTTAATCGATGATAATCTTCAATCAACGCCGATCACGAGCATCAAGACTATTATGGCGCCGGGAACATGTGTTTATAATTTGCATACTTCACAACCACATACCTACTATGCTAACAGAATTGCTGTTCACAATAAGCTTGGCAAGACATTCGTAGACCTAAATAAGAACAACGGTCTTAAGCGAAGTGAATGGAGTTCCCATGCGCCTAACTGGCGTATTGCTCGGCCTGGCATTTGTCTTGAGGGCAAATGTCTTAATGAATCTTGTGCAACACATAAACAACTAGTGGTCATAAATGTTGGAATCAAAAAGTTTGATCTTCTTGTGGACAGTCTTAGAGCGTCGAGATGTCCTGAATGTACTCGGTATGTTGAACCTATAACGTGTGCTTTTAACAACTGTAATTGGCGATGGGAAGGTCAGGTACAATCTACAAATGGTGCAGAACCGACAGCGGTTTCACGAGATTGGAGACATGCTGACAATGCCTATCATCGTTTCGATGAAAATATTAATGAAGCAGTCGTGTGGCTGCAATTGATTCTTGAAGCAAAAGCTCAATGAAACACATTATTATTTATTCTTTTTTTATTCAAATATTCAATTAATTGGTTCTGATCTGATGTTTCAAGTGAACTGAATTATTGATAAGTTAAACGTATTTAATAAAACAGAATTGTTAGCACATATTTTTAAACACAATGTGAGAGATTTTCCGCAATCAATAAATAAAGGGTGAGTCTATTGGCACTCCCGGGAGTGTCACCAAGGAGCTATTGGCACTCCCGGGAGTATCAACAAGGAGCTATTGGCGCTCCCAGCAACTGTTTGGGAGTGTCAACCAGAAGCTATTGGCACACCTAGGAAATGCCACTACACTGCAAAAATACAAGATTACAGTGGCGGCCTCAGCAACCGTATAATTCCTAACACACAGCGTTTTCTTTGAAAAAAAAACAGGTATCATTTTTCGGAAAATAGAATATACGTGCACTATTTGAACTTACGCCGGTGACATTGTTTTTTTCATTTAACCATATCGCACTGGAGAGAAACTTGAAATAACTTATACTTCTCGCGAATTAGAACTCATTTACAAACAACTCAAAAATTAAAAAAGCTTTAAAAGAACAACATTTAATTTAAAATGCTTTGTTCCGGAGAATAAACCACTTTTCCGACATAGCTTTTACACTAAGTTTGCCTGGCGATGGAAATAGCTAGTTGCCACTCTTGGGAGTGCCAATAGCTCCTTGTTGACACTCCCAAACACTTGCTGGGAGTACCAATAGCTTCTTGTTGACACTCTTGGGAGTGCCAACAGTTCCTTGTTGACACTTCCGGGAGTGCCAATAGTCATTCCGATAAATAAATTATGATCATCAACTATACCTTCTTACAATGCACTATTCATATAATAGAGAAAGATATTTTGGTATTCTACAGAATTCCAAATGTGCATCATAAGATATTTTTAACAAGAGATATGTCGAAATGAAAAAGTTTCAAAGTATTTCAAACACTAATCATTTCTTTGATCTTATGCATGTATCCAGACTTCGTACTCATCCTATATTTCCTATAAGTTTTGTAAAAGAGAAGTTTTTCTTTTCAAATGAGTAATATTTTGCTGAGAAAAAGACATAAACACTTTTGGACGTATTATTAATAGTTTTCACATTGAAACGCATAGAAGTTAGTGATAATATATGTCTTTTCTTGTCTACCATCATAATTATTAGCAAGATCGACTCATTTAATTGAAGACGCTTAATGGAAGTGACTAGTCTTACAGAATTCATATTGAAATTTGTATAACAGAGATAAAATCGGTACGGATGATCTGTCGATCAGTTAGTGGTCTAGCTTATTAATCTTGCTGTTTCTATCTCACACTAGTATAATATTCTTATTGGTCTAATTGTATATTGTCGTCATTTCCTCAACTGAATAAAAGAGCAGTTCGGCTTATTTGATGCAGAAGTATTTGAAATACCCCATATTTGTGTCTAGATTATTGGATAACCTCTTAAAAACCAAGAAGACATCATCAAGAACATATGCATTATCGTCCTCGGAGTTATCAAGCTTTTCTACACTGTTGTATAAGTATAGTATTGTTTTTGTTTAGTCACTGAAGCGAACGAAAACGACGAAGGAAAAAGAAAATCTCATTATTTGCATTAAAAAAATTGTGATATAGATATGTCACTTGATGAACTTATTCAATTTATAAATTTTCTGTTTAAATATGGTGTATCGTTGAAAGATTATAAAAAGACATTTGAATTAGATATACTGGAAAGTGTTGATGATTTATTATCATTGAACGGGCAAAACCAAAATTCAATCAGTAATACATTATTTAGATCAGATTCAAGTAGAACAAAACCATCTTCAAAAACTACACCAAGAAAAGTGCACCAAAAAGACGTGCTTCATCACACGATCCGCGTTTCTGTGTATTCTTTTATGTCATGTTATTCTCTGACTACATGCGCTACATGTGTCTCTCTTACTTACTATTTATGCTAGCAATTTTCGCTTGTTGAACAGTCAAAATGATGCCATAGGTCATATATGACTGAGTTCGGTACTATTAAAGGACACACTAATTGATTGACTGATTAAAATTTTATATATTACTAATAATTAGTTACTTTGGTACATTTTAATTTTGCGACCTTGCAAAGTTAACATATTTAGCGAAGTTGCACATAGTAGAAGTCCGTTTTGGTATCCAAAATAGTTAAACAAAAAGATTTCAAATTTGTGACAACAAAAGTGGAAAGGATTTATGTTTCCATACTCTTTCCTCCATTAAAATTGCTGTAAAAGTACACAGCACACTTTGTATATTACTTATTTTTTCATGTCCTTCCCTTTTGAAAAAGTAAAAAAAGCAGATATAAACTGGTGACACGACACTTGAGCTGACTTCGTACTATTCAGAACTTCATTCTTGTGTGGTTGGCCTTGAGCAACGATGAATCCGACCAAGATTATCGAAACTCTATCACAGAACTAACGAGGGAACCACCCGAGGTTTTTTTTAGTCAGTTTTTGCCTATAGAGCTTGGATTTCGAGAAAAATCCGATTTTCGAATTTTTATTACAAACTTGCCACACTCGAATATTTGATCCTAACCCTTACCTTTTGGTGAAATGGTCGAGTGTCAATATCTCAAGGCAGGAAAATTCATTAGCACCGAATATTTTTCCGTCGTGCTACTATGACCATGGACTATAAGTGTAGCAAGTTTGTAATAAAAATTCGAAAGTCGGATTTTTCTCGAAATCCAAGCTCTATAGGCAAAAACTGACTAAAAAATTCAGTATCTTGGCAACAACGCACCATGAGGATGGATGAAACACGTTGGGGTATTTCACTACTCGTTAAAGCCTTTCAAACAAAACTGGTCCCAACCCGAAATCGATTTATAACCTCGGGTGGTTCCCTCGTAAGATGCATCATCAACTCAGTCATTACATTGACCTGATCTCGACAAGACCTCGCAAACCAGCAATTCATATACTTACATTTATCCTGCAAACCACTTACCATAGTGAACGCAGCATTTAGTGGTTTTACAGTGCTAATGGACATTCTTATTAATCATGTATAAAAGAAAAAACTTGCAGTTTTGTATTCTATTACAGAGATATATACAGATATATATTGTTGTTGAAAAGGATATGTGAAATGACGTCATATAATACAATCTAGTAAAAAGAATCGGATGCAAATGTTAATACGAAACTTGTTTTCAAGCCGTTTACGTGCTGTATTATACTTTGAGCATTCCCGGCTGTCTTTCTCTTGTTGGTTGTGCAATCAGTGCAAAACACATATTATGGTTTAATAATGCGTTAACCTATTATATAAGAGAATCTTTCAATGCAAAAGAGTGTGCATAGTAAATTCACTAACACTTTTGTCCAAAAACATTTGTCAAAATGAGTGGGATCATGTAATGAACTATTTCTGATACACGCCATATATAAGCTTCCGTTTTGTTTTAAACATTTTCTTGAACATTTTGTTCTAAATAATAAACTATAGAGTAAAGAAAAATGGACCAAAATGAAAGATGAAGACACATTGAGTATCGTTGGATTTATACTTACATCGTATCAGTTTTGGTTAATGGAAATGGTTGGAATACAAGCAACGTTGCTCCAATAATTAAATATGTAATGTTCAATGTTGTTTGTAAAATATAAACACCTACTGCTAAATCTGAATATTAACATTGTAATTAACATTGTGTTTTATTCGGGAAACGAAAGAAATTTATTACACAAAATAGCATCGAATTATGTCCATTATCACTATTTTAATATAAAAATATATTCTGTATATTTGGCCACGCTCACAAAAAGAAATACGATAAACCAAGATATTTTCTTTTCTTTACTCGATTGTACAAAAGCAACTCAGTTTTTCACTAGAAGGGACTAAGAAAAAGTCTCTCTCTAGTGAATATATTATATTTATTTCTCTCTCATATTTTTTTAAAAGATGCGCCGCCACATACTCTAAAGAATCATGCTTAAATTTTAATTTCAGAACTTCACTTGAGAAAACTTACGAAGAATTATACGAAAGACGAAGAAAATGAAAGCTTTCTAATTTGGTGTTTTTTTCGACTTGAACGTTTTTCTTCTGCTATTATTTCCTTAAAAAAGTGTAGCAAGAGTGAGAACGCAATTCCTTTGGTACTTTTGAATGTGCTCTTTCTCGTAGTCTTGAAACAAATCTTTTTAGAGCAGATGGTGTGCTGGAGAACGAAGTTATTAAAATACGTCAAAAATTGACAGTTCCGCCTTTCCATCAATGTGTCCAAGCAAGCAACGGAAAACATGATCGAAGGTTGATTTGCAGTTAGATGGCGAAGAGCAATCATTTCTGATCAAAATAAAACACATCCGATAGAAAAAGCGGTTGGTTTGATGGACTTATGGGACTTTTACTGAATGCACCACTATGCCCAGAAATTAAAAATCAATGAAAAAAAGCACAACCGACGGAAAAGTTATTATTTTTTGGGGGGGAGAGGGAGGATTGATGTGAAAAAATATGAAGTGTAGCTAAAAGATAGAGCGAAGTCAGAGCTACAAAACGGCTAATTCAGTTTTTCTTACTTTCCAATTAACACAAGAAATCGTTTTTGCCTTTAGAAAGCTTCATTTCCTTCGTCTTTCGTATAATTCTTCGTAAGTTTTCAAAACTCCTAAAATATACTAAAACCTTTGTTAATGAGGCAGGATTGTGGCCCGCAGATTTCTGATTAAAATGAAACCTGATTAAAATGAGAGATCTAAGAGGACTCCTCGGTCACAGTCACGATTGATTTCGACCAGTCACTGACTTCAAGAAAGGAAAATCGCGGTTATAACCTTACATGAATCATGTCTGAATAATACAACTATTTGGATTACATTACATAAAAAT